GGCGGCTCGCCCGGGGGCGGCGGCTCCCTCTTCTCCCGGGGCGCCTGCTGGTTTGGCGTCCAGGGCTGAGAAGCTGTTTCAGGGCAGTGGATTAAGGCTCTGCTGAGCGAACAAGCCAGAGGACTCGGGTTTCTCCTGAAGGGGGAGAAGGTAGTCTGGGGCGGGGGGAGTAGCACCCCGTTTACATCTGCCCAAGTGCTGAAAAATAAAATGTATTGGAAAACAGATCTCTGCACACCCATGCTCACAGCAGCAGGATTCACAGTCACCAACTTGTGGAAGCATCCCAAGTGTCCACGGATGGATGATGGGTAAACACAATGTGTCCATCCACACGCTGGAATATTAGGCAGCCATGAAAAGGAACAGGATCCTGACACCTGCTCCAACGTGGATGGAGCCCGAGGACATGACGCTCAGTGACATGAGCCAGACACAGAAGGACAGACCCTGTGTGATCCCCTCACAGGAGGCCCCTAGAGGAGTCACATCCACAGAGACAGAAAGTGGATGGTGGGGCCAGGGGCTGGGGGAGGGGAGGGGAGTCAGTGTTTCATGGGGACAGAGTCTCAGCTTGGAAGGATGAGAAAGTTCTGGAGACGGATGGTGGGGATGGGTGCACAACAGTGTGAATGTGCTTCATGCCACTGAGCTGTGCCCTTAAAATAGTTAAGATGGTCACTTTCATGTCTATTTTAACACACAAACTTTTTTTTAATGCATTGGGATTTTCCCATCACAAAGAGAAACAAACCATTGTCACTGTGTGTTTCCCTCCAGTCGGCTCATTTTCTGCACGCTGGCTCTTGGCTGGGCTGTTTCTACCAGCTTGATTCCCGCTTGTCTTCACTTGACGTTATAACACCTTTGATATCTCACGTGTGTTCAATGTGCTTAGATATACTTTTTCTAATTTAATTCTTCTGGAGACCTTACCAGACAAATGTCTTTTTCTTTTTTATTGTGGTAAAATGCACAGAATATAAAATTCAACACTTTAAACTATTTCAAAGTGTATGACAGTGGTCTTTGGTATTTTCACAATGTCGCGCATCCATCACCACTATCTAACTCCAGAACATTCCATCACCCCAAAAGAAACCCCGTCCCCATGAGCAGTCACTCCCCACCCCCTCCCCAGGCCCTGACAACCATGAACCCACTTTGTTTTGCTCAGGAAGACTGGCCCTGGGCTAACATCCGTGCCCATCTTCCTCTACTTTATATGGGATGCTGCCACAGCGTGGCGTGACAAGTGGTGCGTCGGTGCCCGCCTGGGATCCAAACCTGTGAACCCCCAGCCGCCACAGCAGAGCTCGAACACTTAACTGCTTGCACCACCAGGCCAGCCCCCATGAACTGACTTCCTGTCTGTGGATGTGCCTGTTCTGGACATTTCACATCAATGGAATCACGCACTTGTCCTTCTGTGTTTGGTTATCTCACTGAGCATCATGTGTTCAAGGTCCACCCACGGGGTAGCTGGTTCAGGGCTTCCCTCCTTTTCATGGCTGCGTAATATTCTAATGTGTGGATGGACACGTTGTGTGGATCCATCATCTATCAATGGACATTAAAGTTGTTTCCACTTTTGGCTACTATGAAGAGATATAATTTTTAATAGCTGCATAATATTCACCAAATGAACATACTCTGATTTGCTTAACCATGCCCCTACTGTTGGGCATTTAAATTATTTTCAAATTATAAATAATATCTCCACAAACATGTTCCTAAACAGTTGGGATTCTGTCCCTCTGATAGAAACCCAGAAGTGGAATTTCTCCATCAAACATCATAAGACATTTGAAATGTCCATGGGCAAAATTGCATCCCATCAGAGCTCTGCCAGGT